GACATTATGATAATGGAGCATGGCCTCGAACCCGTCAATGTGGTCGACCGGGTCCGCAACTCCGTCATACTCCTTCAGATGTGAGGGCTTCTCCATGCCCGGGGGGATAGGTGCATCCATGATGGCTTGCGACAGGGGACCGCGGGGGTCGTCCTCTTCGCTCCTCTCCGGAGACAGAGATGGGGACCTGTAGTATTGTCTGGCACGGTGGTCGTGCTGAGTTTCCCTCGAGCGCGATGCTCGGTGGTTGAACGTCACTCGCCCGTCCCCGGCGTGTCTCTTGTCGTGCCTTGCCGGGTCGCGACTGGGTTCTCCGGCAGGGATGGCGGGCTGTCTCTCCAAATAGGGGCGCCTTTGCTTTGGCCGGGGAGAGGGACTTCTGGAGTTCTCCCTGTAGTGTCTCCGCGGGGAAGAAGGGTGTCGAACTTCTGTGACCCGAGGAGGTGGAGAATGTGGCCTCCGATGCCTCCTCGGGGGTCTTCGGTCATCTTCAAGCGCCTTTAATCTCTCTCCTTGGGCGAAGATGAGATAGTTCGTTTGGTTAATTGCTGCGAACAGCGCTTGTGTGGTGGCATCCGCCCCGGGGGGGACGGGGACTTCCTGAAATCGGACGGCTCTGTAGTGGGCGAGGGCCGCCGGGTCGTCCTCGAGTGGTGGTGGGATCGGGGAGGATGATGAGGTGGCTCCGTCCCTGTGCGAGGAAGTTCCGAGGACGGTGGTTGCAGGAGCGGTGTTGTGGCCGGGATTGACGACATTGTCGAGATGCCCGTTTTTGTTTGCCGTACCGTTATTGGTGTCGGTGACACGGACGTTCTGCTCGTCGCGAGCTGGATCAGCCATGACAGGTAGTTGAATTGAGCTTTGGTCTTTTGAGTTGTTTGTTAGACGGGGAAGCTAGTTTCCACAGACGGCGCCACTGATCTGACCTGATCAGAAATGGACCGTCACGGCTGGCTCCGAGCAGAAAGCTTTTTGAACGAAGTGGGGGGGGGTACCTGCAAGGCACTCCGATGCTGAAGTAAGTAGAAGTACGAGCAGGTAATAGCAAGTGTATGGTTAGAATGATGAATACCTGACCCTCTGGAAACAAGGGGTATTTATAGCCCCCAGCGCTGGGCCAAGGTTCCTTCATTGGGCCGGGCAGGTTTGGCCCAATGGAGGAACTGCCAGGTTCTACGTGCGTAGTGGGGACCCGCATGTGGTCCCCTTCCTGGATGTTCTGCGTGAAGTGCGGGCGGACGGAGACGCGGTCTTTTCGGGGTCTCGTTGGGAGAGCAGTGGACTGAGTCTGCCCTAGTTGGGGTGCTCGAGGTAATGTCGAGCTGGATAGCAGGATGTCGAGCTGGACAGCAGGATGTGGAGCTGGACAGCAGTATGTCGAGCTGGAGGTGTAGCTGTCGAGCACGTGAGAGCACGTCGGGCACGACTGTGACCCTTTGGTCGGCGTGGTCCTCAGTAAGTCCATTTGGATTGGGCCTTAGCAATGCTTTTGGGCCTGTCGGGCCCAGTCCAGAACAGTTGTATTGCTTGATATTTGGACATTGCTATTTCATTTGATTCATCCCCATTTGTAACAATTATACCCCCACTCCCGAACATTCTGTAATAGCGTAGAATTTCAATTCCCGCAATTTACTATTTTCCATATATTGTATAGTAACTAGGCACGTATGACAAGATTTAAATATCAATCGCTAGATGACCTAATCAAAGAATAAAATAACTTGAAACCAAGACACTTCTTCACACGCGCACCTCTAGGGTAACCTCGCTCGTTGCCTCGGAAATACAATCATGTCCCTCGAATATGGGATGCTTTAGCAAATGACCCTTCAATAAATAAAGATCGTAGTCCCTCGATGACCCTCGATGTTCCCTTCGATTAAAATGATCTCGTCCCTTACAAAATTGTTAAAGCGTCTCACAAGTTGCCTTCAATGATTGTAAAATTGATCCGCGCCTGTCCCTTAACATCCAATGGTGGGGCTTCTTACCAAATCAATGGTAAGATAACACTATTAAAAGGAAGAAAAGAACAACTTAAGACCTTTTGAGTAGATATATTCGCTCTTAGTTACTCGCTTGCTCACGACAAAAAAATCTTTACACCTACACCTCCATTTCAAAACACTTTCAAAAGACAAAACATTTTGTATACGTTCTTATAGAGACGAGAATCATTGCAAAACCTCTTTTCAAAACACTTCTCGAAACACGATTCAAAAACACATCTTTGAACCACTTTTCGAAACAAAACTTTGTATACGTTCTTATAGAGACGAGAACCATTACAAAGAGATTTTTCAAAAAACTTTTAAAGCCCACACCACAAGCACACAATCAAACAAAAGCAAGTGATCTAAACGAGTAACTAAGAGCCCATGGAAAACCATGGATGAAAAGGGTGCTAATACCTTCCCTTTTCATAATCTACCCCCCGAACCCGAGAAATAATCTCGAAAGGTCTTTTCTGTGCTTTTTTACCTTTCCTTTTGGATAAAAGAAAAGTCGGTGGCGACTCTTGCTAACCGCACAAGTGTGAACGAAACGCAAAACTTCTAGTCAGTTCTCCCATCGTATCACAATTCCTTACCAGGGATGGAGTTGATATCTTGATTACTAGAGCAAAAGCTTCTTTTTGTTGTTGTTTGGATGTTTTAACCTTAGGCGCCATTATTGAAGACAAAGGTCAGTAACATTTTTGTGACGTTTTAAGAAGAAAAAGCTAAAAAAACGCAAACTTTGAGTGCAGAAGAGAAGAAAAAGTTAGAAATATGAATTATGATGGTATTTACAAAGAAAAAAAAAAGCGTTTTAAATTCCATCATGGAGGATGAATAAAAATTAGCGGGACACATGAATAAATTCTATAGGATATATAGGCGGTTAACTTTACAGGTTACCACCATACTCCTATTCAAAAGCATGGGTACAACACTTTTCAAAGCATGACATCACAATAGTAATTGTGATGCCATGGTCACAATTACTGTTTTAGTGATCGATGAATAACAGTAATTATTGACGCGTTGAAAAGATTTCAAAAAATGCCATTTTCTCATTATGATCGAAAAAGACTTTTTTTGGAGGGTAATTTGTTAGCTGGAAAATTTGACGCTCAAGGTTTCAAACAAATATTAAGGTTTCTTCGAAGAGGAATTAAGAGCCTTTTTGAAAGATGTTTCGACAGAAGTATGTTATGGTCTTTTCGACCAGACTTTTGCTAAGTAAGGAAAATTCGAAACACCATATTCAAAATAATATTTGAGGCAGCTTCGATTGAACGATTTGAAATAAGGGTAAAAGGATACAAGTTTTGGCGCTTATTTGTGTTTTGAAACAAGACGCATGGAGACGTTTGAAGGATCAGATGCATGCAAACGAGAACGTGTCATCTTCTGATAAGAAGACCACTCGTTTAAGATTAGTATAAATATGAGTCTTTTAGTTTAGATTTATGTGTGTTCAGTTGTTGTACAAATCACTATATATACTCAAAGTATCAAAGTTAATCGAGAAATGAGTTATGAGAATGCACGTTTGAATCACCAACCTTTTATCTTTGAATGCAATTTTTACATTTTTAAGCCATTTATCATTTCTTTACATTTTCCAGTTGAAACTTTTTTATTTATATTTTTCAGTCGAAGTCTTTACCTTTCTCCTTCGTTATTTACTTCCTTTATTTTCTTTTTGCCATTTACATTTGAATTTACCTTTATAATCGAAAAGATCAATATCCAGAAAAATCTATAACATAACTAATAAATAGACATTATTGTCCTAAGATCAATCTAGTCGATTCTGTAAGTAACCAGCGTCGTTAGAATTTGAAGACTAGTGATTGTTTACTAAATTTCACGGTAAACAATCTCACACCTAACCATCATCTTCCAACCAATACCACTTGGAACAACTCTCATCCTAAAAGGACATTTCACTTTCATGCTATAAACGTTGTCAGATGAGTTTGTGTTTTGACATACATTCTTTCTTTTATAATTTTCTTCTCTCTCGCAACCCATAATCAATTTATCCTTCTTCTCTAGGATTCCATTAGTCGAATCAGAATGCACAGTGACAACAATAATACCATGTTGTTTCCTAATAGCCCGTGTCCATGCTCTAATTGAGTCTTGAATATCTGTCAATTTTGAAATATAAAGGTTAAATTAACAATTTCCTAGAAACAGACAAACATTTCGAAATAAGGTTTGTTAAATAGAGTATGTACATCAGTGATGAAAATTTTCGTATAATTTGTACAAGAATCCGTAAAAGAAGTTGCTGATTGCACCGGTTGAGGACCACACAAGTAGAGATATTCATTTTCTGCCATATCGAAAATTACAAGGTTGACAAAATTTCCAGTAAACCGAAAATTTGAAATTTCCGAAATTTCTCAATGTACTAGAATTTTAGGAAAAATCCGATAAATTATTTAAAAAATTGAAGATTGATACTGCAAATTTGAAATTTCTAGTGAATTGCTTCCTGAAATTTCTGAAATCAACAGGATTTTCAATATTTTGCTTAAGACGATATCAAAAATTCTAAAATGTGTACCAGAAATTTTATTTTTTTGGAAATTTTCCAATAATTTTTTTTTTCACAAAAAGTTATTTTGAGGTTAATACGAAAATACAGAAAATGACATGATTAATACTAGGAGTGACATGTTAAATTCTCTTAGAATTGGACTCAGCCTAGCCCAATTTGCAAATCAATAAATAAACAAATTATATAAATAAACATAAATATAAAATCAAGAAAACACAAATTATGAAACGAAAATCTGGAACTTTCTACAAGGATCAAGACTCACATTTCCATCACGATGAATTTCCAGAACCAGAAAGATATAAACATATTTATCACATCCAATCATCAAATTCACCTTCTAAACCACAACCTCTATCTACCAAATCTTTTACAGAGTACAACAAATCACGAAGAGAAGAATCAAAACCGCAAAACTGAAGCGAAAGAGAGAAGAAGAAATGGGTGTAGACTACTACAAAATCTTGCAGGTTGATAAGAACGCAAAAGACGAAGAATTGAAGAAGGCTTACAGAAAACTTGCCATGAAATGGCACCCTGATAAAAACCCAACCAACAAGAAAGATGCAGAAGCTAAGTTCAAGCAAATTTCTGAAGCTTATGAGGTAATGTTTTCTCATGGGTGTTGCCAAGTTTTTAGCTTTTTCAAATATTATGAGTGAAATAGTGAAATTCAATAATTGTTTTTATCTGGGTCTTGATTGGTTGTGTTTTTTTTCATGAGGGTTTTATCAAAATTTTATCTTTCTGAAATTATCAGTGAAACTCGATTAACATTTTTATGGACTATGCTTAGTTTGTTTGTGTTGTGAATTGTGATGGTTATTGAAGGTACTTAGTGATCCTGAAAAGAGAGCAATCTATGATCAATATGGGGAAGAGGGTTTGAAGGGTCAAGTTCCTCCTCCTGATGCTGGTAGTGGTGGTGGAACTAGTTTCTATTCCACAGGAGATATCCCTGGATCGTTTCGGTTTAATCCGAGGAATGCAGATGATATTTTTGCTGAGTTTTTTGGATTCTCAAGCCCATTTGGTGGCATGGGTGGAAGAAGTGGTGGGGGCGGCGGCGGCATGAGATCTAGGTTCCCTGCTGGAATGTTTGGTGATGATTTGTTTGGATCTTTTGGGGAAGGAGGAGGAATGCATATGAATCAAGGTGTATCTCGTAAAGCTCCTGCTATTGAGAACAAGTTGAGTTGCACTCTTGAGGAGATATATAAAGGAACTACAAAGAAGATGAAGATCTCTAGAGAAATAGCTGATGCCAGTGGGTGAGTACTTGATTTCACTCTGCTATTTCTTCTGCTTTTTTAATTCTAATATGGTCAATTTTGTGCTTGATGCAATGGTTGAAGTTTGATTTGGTAGTTTTATGCATCCACTTAAGAAAAAACTCAGTTCTGAATTGTGATTTGCCACTGTGTGAATATTTGGTTTTACGGTTGGAACACTTTGAATTGATTCTAGATGTGAATAATTGATTTTGGAATGGTGACTACTCTCGATTCCAGAATTGATTTTACTTGAAGGCAGAATCGGTAGCTTTTGAGTCACAACTGATTTTTACACTAAAATTTATTGTTCATCTCGATTTTCCGAGAATCTCTATAGAAAGTTTTCTGGTTCAAATATTAACAATGTATCATCATTTTTTGTGATTGTAGCAAAACCATGCCAGTGGAAGAGATATTGACCATAACTGTGAAGCCAGGTTGGAAGAAAGGCACAAAGATTACCTTCCCAGAAAAGGGCAACGAACAGCCGAATGTAACCACTGCAGATCTTGTTTTTGTGATTGATGAAAGGCCACACAGCGTGTTCAATCGCGAAGGAAACGACCTGGTTGTGACTCAAAAGATATCTCTTGTGGAGGCCTTAACTGGTTATACAGTGCACCTCACTACACTGGATGGTAGAAACTTAAGCATACCAATCAACAATGTCATTCATCCTAAGTATGAGGAGGTTGTTCCAAAAGAAGGGATGCCACTCCCTAAGGATCCATCAAAGAAGGGGAATTTGAGGATAAAGTTTAACATCAAGTTCCCTAATAGGCTCACTGATGAACAGAAAGCAGGAGTTAGAAAACTCTTGGGTGCCTCACTCTGAAATTGATCATATATGGAATGAGAATAGTCTTAGGTGTCTCTGAAAATATTAGATTTCCCAATAAACTTGAATGTTTTTGTATGAATTGGATTTAGTGAACAAATTTAAAGAGTTTGATGAAATAAATTGAATGGTTTTAAGGCACATACATAAGGAGCTACATATTGAGTTATTGACAGCTGAAAGGAAATCCCAAATTCAAATTATGATGCGTGCAGCATGTTTCCAAACACTATTTTTAGACATCAAGATGTAGAGCATAATGAGAGAAGTACACTTGGCATCCATATTAATATACCTCTAACACTACCTACATTTTTTAGAAAGAAAAAAAGTGAAAATATAAAAGTAAAATTAAATATTTTAGATTTTTCAAGATATTTAACAATTTGAATTTTTTGGGGAATTGTTTGGAATTTACAAGTATTTTTTCTTCTTCGGGATTTTCTATGTTTTTATCTGATTTTATTTATAGTTTTAAATATCCGGTATAAATACACATTTCATGTATTTTTATCATATATTTAAAAGAATGATACTAAACATGCATTTTCATAGTTATATCAATTTTTTAAAAAATTTCAGATATAAATGTGAAGGTTTATATCAGCTTTTACAAAATATCTAGTGAAAATATAGAGTTGACATTGGAATATTCAAAATCTGATAATAAAAGTAGCGGTGGCATAAGATTTTTTTAAAATTTAATTGGTTATTTATTTTATTGTTTGATTTATTTGTGAGACAGAGCAACAAATTTGTTAGGGTTGTTGCATAGTTTTGGTAGAGATGTTAAAGATAACGGTGATGACCTAGAGCAGATAAAGTAGTTCTCATTGATTTTTATTACATGAGGATTGAAGAATTTCACGGACCACTTACTCTCCATTGTAGAGGGAGGTAGAGGTGGTCACTCCATATGTGTCAATGAGAAGGCAAAAGTTGTTGTGATCGATTATGTTAGAGCCAAATACGCATGTGGAGATGCTTGATTAGCCTGATATATGTGACGATCATGATGGTCTGCATATGAGAGGTTTCTTGGAGGGCCCTCAAATCTTACACTGCTGGCAACTATATTTCATATTTTATTTATTGAGATGACAATTATCATGGATGACGTCTCCATCCTACTACATCTCCTACTTGTGGGTAACTTTTCACCACTTCATTGATGAGCGTCGAACTTGCAATTATGAGTGGGATTTATGTGGGACGAAATTGGAGGCATTTAGGTTTTATCAGGAGACTTATGCATCATTGATGGAGTATTTTATGTACCATGAGGCCATCAAGGTGTACATGTTCCATCTTGCTAAATGCATTATTGTAAAAAATAAGTTATATGTCTACATTGATGAGGCATGTAGTCATGTTTGTTGATCTTAGATTTCATAGTTGAGTCGGAGTTGTGTTGGTGTGACGATACTCTATCATGTCTTTGGAGATGTGGCTACATTTGAGACGAGATAACTTGTCAATTACATATCCACTTTCAAGTATGAATATTTATTATATTTTTTAATACGTATTTATTATGTTTACTTTGTATGTTTAATTTGTTATGTTAAAATTATATGTTTATTGCAGTGTTGGATATAAGAGTATTTTCTATTCATTTGTGACAAGCGTGATTTGAGTTTTATCACAAATGGCTATCACGGGTCACGAGATGGGGCTTCAAACGTTCTCATCTAGACAGTATTCAAAAATACAAGTGGAGATTTGATGCTCTAATATAGATATCGTACAATGACCATAGAGTGCATTGGAAGTTCTAAGACACTATATTATTTTTATGTTATATGTGATGGGAGATTATTGTCACTACTTATTTACTTGAGAGGTTTTTTCGCCAGTTTGCCTATGCCCAGGGCATACATAGTATCAATGTGATTAGAAAAAATGCAGTGGTTGTTTTTTTTCTGAACAATATATGGACGGTTATTTAGAGTGGCACTATAGAGTACCACACCCTCACATTTTCAATGGTGAGGTTTATATTTTTGCAGTGCGGATAACACACATTTCCAATGGTAGATCAATTTATAATTTATTATTATTATTTGTTGTTGTCTCTATGATATTATTTGTTGTTAATTTTAATTATTTTATAATTTAAAATATTGTTATATAGAAAAACATGACATAACATAACATGAGTTTGACATATAACTTAACATAAATCAAACATAACATTAATTTAACATAGATCTAATATGACATTAACTTAACTTAAATCTAACATGACATTTTAGCAGCAGCAAATGGCTCATAATATTTTATCATCTTTAGAATATAGTCAGTTGATCTTACAAGTGTCGTATCCACCTCGATTGATCATTGATTGTAACAGTGACATGTACTTTACATAACTCTTACAGTTGCATCCATTTTCAACTCAAACTTATTAAATTTTATTTTTCCCTTCATTATCAATCATGAGAGAATAATACTCGATCTTATTCACTCTTTTATTGTTGGTGTAGTGTAAGAGGTTATCTAGTTTGTATTTCAGATCTATCTAAGGGGTGTCCTTTGTGACCTTAAATTTAATATGAGACCTCATGTCTTTGAAGTAAACAAATGCTATATACTAATATTGGTTTATTTTTGTAGTGTTTTTGTTAACAACATATGAGGCATATTTATATAAGTTTTAAATTACTAGGGACCATACAAACATGTCGGTGCAATAGCGATCATAAGTGTCAGTGTAATCCTGACTATACAAAGTGTAGAAGCAATTCCAATCATATTGACTTTCTGACTTCATTTTTCCATTGTCTTATACGTCCAACATAATTGTTTCTCGTTCTCTTTCACTTTCACTACAACTATCTCTCTCCAAGGATCAATGACGGGAGACAATGGACAATCAGACCTCAACTTCAAATGAATGCAGTAAATATTGTTAACAAAACTAAATACAATAAGTTAATGTCTTCTTGTTGACCTATATGAAGATGACACAAGTGAGAAGAATATAGTCTTAATGTTATGGAACAAAGAGTCTAATATCTCATTGTATTTAGAAGTAATATGATAATTCACATCAAGAATCACCATCCATTAGTTACGCCTTGAACACCCAAACTAGAAATTCTTAATGAACTACTAACTTATGAAATTATGCCATAAACACATTCGAATACAAATCATTATTGTGAAAAACTTCACCATCTAACTACGTCCAAACCAAATACAATGACTCTTAATCTCATCCAAATAAATATCTAATAGCATAGAAATCACAATGTCCATCATCTGCCACATCTACAATATCTTCAATATGGTCGTGCATGAAAATCGAAAACTGAGACAAGTATAGGTGTCTTAAATACTTTATATAGGTGTCTTTTACAATGTGATGTTTACACGGTCTTGAGACAAAGCCATACAATCTCTAATAAAAATGAGTTTTATGTCGATGTTCAATGTTCACAACACTTTTTTGAAATGACATTTTATTTGCACCTAGTTACAACTTTAACATGACGTTGATTACATCTCAACTTCTACACAAATCTACTATACTAGTATGCAACATATTTTTGAGTCTCCAATGAGAAGACTCAATCCTATAAAATAATATTAGAGAATATGTAATAAATATATTAACTAATATTTGTGTAATAATATTAAACTCATGTAAAAAATATACTTGTTTGTTGTTGTGTTCCCTAAGTGAATGACTTGGCTAGTTCATGCAACAACAAATTTCTCCTTATAGGGAGACAACCATATTTAGGAAACATAATAAACAAATGAAGGTATGTCAACACATATTATCTCAAAATGTTGTAAGTATTTCTCACACTCACACCTTATTTGAATACATAATCTTATTACATAGTTCTGTCACATGCTTTTGTCTATTAACCTTGACAAACTCCTTGTATTTTACACCAACATTTTTTACAACATGGAAAACATATAAGAGGTGGATTGGGGATGGGGGAAAATTCAATGGCATTCATCAAATCTAGTTTCCAATCAGTCAACATGACCTTGGAAAACAACTTTTCAATTGCGAACAACTCTTTCAACTTCTCTAGAGTTCACGTGAAATTTGTCTCACTTTCATATTCCAAGTAATCAAACTCAATAGAGAATGTCAATTCGGTTGATGTAACACCAACAACATCAATTAGCGCTAGCCTATGCCTGTTAGTTTTACATGTGCAGTCAAAGATCAAAACCAAATAAAACATATTCAAAAGTTTCATTGAATCAAGACGTGTCTAGAATATACCCACAACATTTGGGTCATCCTTGTTTTTTGATCCAACACAAATATTTTTCATTATGAATTAAGCTCAAAAAATGTTACATTTGGTCAATGAACCTCTAATAGTATACCAATATGTAGATCTTGCTTTATACAATTGCACCAGATTTATCAGATTCTCAACATTCCTATTTCTCGATGCACTCAATATGAACATCGGCGTCTTGTTGTACTTTGTCATGTCATTCACAAATTGTCTTTCTTTGGGTATTACGGCCTAATATGTCAGGATCGTCTAAATCCTCAGCTAAACGGTAGTTATGAATACCACATCTAACATTTATGTTCCAACCATAACCACTTGACACATATCTCAACCGAAAGGGGCATTCAACTCTTCTACTACAAGTAACTTTCGTATTTCCTTTGTCCTTGCAATTTCCTCCTCTCTCACAACCAAGAATCAGTTTGTCGCTCATGTCTCTTTGTCTATTTGATGTATCAGAACGAATGATAACCACAATAATATTGTGTTGTCTCCTAATATATTGTGTTCATGATAACACTTTTGTCAGGAGAAAAATATATGCCAATTAAAACACAAATTAATTACTCACAAATTCTAATGTTCAATTAAAAATTTTAGATAAAACAAGTAAGTAATACATACCAAATCAATGGTGTGTAAAAGACGAATGCTAGGAACATTCTTTTTTATGAGGAATTAACATGTCACCTCCTCACTTATTCATGCCAGCCCCATCACCTA